GGATCGTAGAGTTGGGGAGCTGCGACATGCTCAAGCACACATTGGCCTTTTGTAAGATTGAGTAGAACTGCGGGGGTGCAATCATTACAGCAGGATCTGAGGTCTTCTTCAATATGGCAACTGCTTTTGGCAGTGCCCTCTCAAAGGAAACATGTGTTGCCTACCCGCGTTCGAGAGTGTGAGTTGAGTTGAATTCCACCAAAAAATTTGACACTCACCTGCCGTCCGATATGGAAAGTATTGAGATTGTTTGACACTAGGGATTCAACGTGAGGCCTGGGCTCGTGGTAGGATCTGCTCGTGCAAGGTTGCTGCAATTATCAAAAGCTCTGAACTGTCAAAGAGGCAAGTTAGCTTGGCCCCGCGCAAACTTAATGTTGAGTTCAATGGTTGAACTAGACATCCTGGTGCACGTAAACCTGGGCCATCCATGTTGAGGGACCATTGCCAATCGTGATGTTGTGTTGGATCATCATCGATGTTTGCCTGAACAAGGTAAATAATCTGGAATGATATCTCTACGCTTGCATCTGCCAGCAAGGAGATATTCTAAGGACTAAGAGCCAAGATACAAACCATTCACGCTCTCTATGTGTTATATCCAGGTTCAGAGAGAGCAGGGATGTGGGCCAGTTGCCGGTGGACACAGGAGAACAAGACTGAGGGATTCCGGAAGGGGACCAGAGACTCCGGTATTCCGGGGTGGCACGGAGGCGACCGGTGTAACATCACGCTACAGTACAGAGGGCGAGTGTACTACCCACACTACCAGAGGGACAAGCAGACACAAGGAAAGTATTCTGGTATACGGAGACCGGAGCAAAACCCAGAAGCAACTACAAAAACTACAGAGTACAGAAGCAACTTAATGATTAAACTGAAGAACAGGAGTGTAGTCTAGGGGATTAAATAGTAAAGTACTCTATTGAAATAGTATAAGGAAATAGATAAGTGACCATATGGAAATACAATAGAAACAGATCACCTTATGTTGTTGGAGAAGAGATGTAAGTCATATGATGTTCAAAAGCATGTGGAAAGAAGTGGTAACCATATGGTATACTCCAGACACATGGTAAGTCATTCAGTTCAATGCATGTTGCAAAGATAACAAGTCACCGAGGACTCCAGTAGTCTCCGGGGTTCCGGTAACTCTGGAGTGTTAGGTGTTGATTCCGGAATGCTTCCCTGGTATGTGTGCACAGATATAACAAGTGACTATAAGGTGAACCTAGCATGAGCAAAGTGAGTCAAAGCCGGATAAACAGGAAACACTCAGTAATCCTTCATCACATCAAAACCCTGTTTTGAGAAGTACTCAGAAAGTTCTCGAGGCTGTCAACTGTCAGGATCCAACCCAATCAGAATGAGAGTCACTCCGGAGTCGAGATCAAAATAGAAAATAGATTTCGGCCATATCACCGATGATTGACGTGTGATCGCGCTGCTCCCACACTTTTTCAAGTCGTCCCACGATGTGTCGTGCACCTCTACGCCTCGTGATTCAGGGCCAGTATCCCGGCGCATTAGGCTGGACCCACGATAAGGACAAAGGCTTCAGTGTGTCCGACGACAATAGGGATGCATGGAAGATATTTGTCAAGGCGCATGCTGTCTTCAAGCCATTCGCCAACGAAGGCTGGGACCTTTTTGACTTGATGCACGATATACTCCCCACTCGTGCAAAGGGTATGCATGTCCACAACCCTGCCTACCCCCCTCAGCTTCTCTGCCCGCTCCTGGTGTCTCTCAGTTCCAGGCTCCGCTGTCCCAGCTTACGGTCCCCGACTTGGATAACGACTTCCCCAGTGCTTCTCAGCTCTTGTCCTTTTTGCAGTCCCAGTCTCAGTCATCTCAGTCGCAGCTTACATACAAGTTACAAGGTGCATGTTTGTCTACTTGTTATCACCAACACTCTTTACACTACCAACCACCACACACCCTGGTGTATCATCAACCTTTGGTAACATCATGCACACTGCAGGAGGACAAGGAGTGAGTGGCTGCCACTGCCACTGTCTCTTTATCTTTGCATTCATCAAGCAAGTCCAAGCACCCACCATCGGCACTCATGCACTGACACAAACACAGGTCTTCCAAGGTTCTCATCAGCTCACCCTCTCTCCATCTCTTTCTTTCCTCATCTTAGTTACGTATGACTCCTTTATGTGGTAAATGTGGAAGGGAATTTAGATAAATACTTTGTGTCCATTGTTGTATGCTCTTGAACATGTTGATTTCCTGCTTCTGAAGTTGAAAAATTAAGGATTTGGAGAACAGGAGATGCAGAGTGCAGTTCTATCAAGAGGATTATTTGAGCGGTGTTGACTTGATCTCATGTAGAGCACATCAGATTCGAGTTTAGTTGTCGTTGGAGGAGGCTTACAGCTATTTGCAAATCTAATGGCACTAGCTAATTTTAGAATGAAAGAGCAAGTTTTGATCTGACGGTTTGCCGAGCTCATTACTCGACCATTTGTGGGTCGATTTCATTGGCTTTGGGCGCGTTAAAAAGGGGCAAAGCTAAGCTTTTGATTTATGTGCATTTTCGGTCTTAAACCACCGCAGTTAATGACCATAAAATTCGCACCTTCGCATCTCAACCACAAGTTGTTCACTCAATAACTCCGCCGTTATCCGTTTGATTTACCTGATTCAAACGCCCTTACAATCGATAAATGGAGGCCAACATCCTGAATGGTCCAGATTGTGTGCGGTCTGTATCGCACTAGGTGTATATCTTGGTGAACAGAAAAATTCCAAACGCATGAAGAGCTCAGTTGCCTTGGTACAAAGACATTGGTTTTGGCATTGGAAACTTTTAGACACCTCCCTCTTCAATATGCACCTAGTTTGACTCAAATTGGATCCGAAATGTGCAAGTAGCGGGGTTTCCATTCAGGGATCGGCATCACCAACACCGATTTTGGGGATACCTGAAATTTTTGAATTGAAGTACAACATGTATATCAAATGAGTGCGCTACTTATGCTCCGTGTAATCCCATTGAAATGACATGAATTAGTTTAATTTTGACCGAGAAATGAGCTCGGCAAACTGTCGGATCAAAAGTTGTTCTTTCATTCTAAATTTAGCTAGTGCCATTAGATTTGCAAACAGCTGTAATATGTGTCAAGTTCAAGGGAGACACAATACTCCAAATAATTAATATGTGGAGCTGAAGTCAACACTGTTCACTTCAGATATTCTGAATTTGAATAGAGTCTACAGCACGACCTCTAAAATCTGCTGAGTGAGTTTTATATAGCCCCACTGGGAAAGTGTTGAAACATGAAGAGAGATGCATGAAATAACAGATTTCCTTTGCTCTGGTTTTTTTTCTGGCAATTTTCCTTATTGTGTTGACCTGACTGACCCTCCTTTTTCTGTGCCAAAAGAGCCCAAATATTCTTGCTTTTTCAATATTCCTCAAACTGAGGCCAATGTGAGGTGATGTGATGCGGACTGCAGTTCTGTGAACTGCCTGACCTGGGGTGGGTATAGTCAAGTAGTGTTTACAGAATTTAATTTGTCCTCTAGGAGGAAATTGCTCTGTCGCGGAGCTGCGTAGTTATAGATATGCTATTGCGTGATATATAATTTGTGGTGTGTGTGTGTGTGTGTGTGTACAGTTCTCTCCGTTTGGATTGAACACTTTGCCAGGTTCCTCGAAGATTTGGTTCTTCGTTGGGGGCTGGCCTTCCGAAGGTACCGCAGATGGATAGTTTTCTACACTTGCTCGAAGGGTTCGCTCCGCAGTGTGAATGCTGTTCCGTTCCGGAGTACTCGGGTTATCTGTTATGCTTTATCCACCCGTCTCGAGCGTATTGGACGGCAGGTCTCTTCAGTACAGTGTAACACTATACAGATGGCTATAGTGATTCCCTTCGTAGCCTGGTTTCTCCGTTGGTGAACACCTTGAGACGGAGTCACTTCCATTTCGAAGACTCGGGGGTGAAGTCTGCGAATTGAATGGGGGAAATGGTATGATCGTGTAGGATAGGCCTTCCGTATACGATCTGGTGGGTTCCTTGCAAGGATATCTGTCCAAACTCCGAAAAGGAACGGTTGCACAAAGCTAAGTTAGGTGACTGGCCGTTTGGTGGTGTGCCACGTAATCTACTACCGCACGCTTTCAACTCCGGATTGACTATATTTCCTCTGTATCGATTTATCGAAACGGAGGTGAGACGGACGGGGTTTCTTGACAAGCCCTGGCCTTTTAGGTGACCTTGGTTTGTCCTACTATTGGGTGGCACGACCCATAGCGGAGTGTATTTAATTTAGTTCCCCACCCTGGTGTACTTCAGGGGGAGTAGCTTTAGGTATATGCAGTGGGAGGTAATAATATAATGATTCCGTATCATACAGCTGGCTTTTATATGGTTCTCCGTCCGATACTCGCACGCGTAATAACTCCTTGTTTAGGAAACGGAGCCCTCGTCCATTTCCATTCTGACTTGCCGTGTCGATCTCCATGCACTCCCTATGTTTAAAGGGGCTGACAGTCAATTCGGACTTGCCTCGTGCCAACTCTGTTTCCTGTTTGGTCACCCCATTTCCCAAGAACCCACTCTGTATGCTGGCGCGCCGTTGATCCGTCTCCGTATTGAATTTAACTGTGCTTCTGTTTTGCTTCTTCTTTCCTTGCAGATTTATCACGGCCAGGTGGCAGAGTGGTAATGCATGCGAGGCGAGTACAGTACCTAATAATGTCCCCTCGCAAGGTCTCTGTTCGATTCGGAGTCTGGCCTTGGGCGCAAAAGTCGGGTTTTGTTTCAGGTTATCATTTTTGCCTATTTTATCGAGAGGCTCTTTGTGCATAATCACGACCGGGTGGCGTAGTGGCAATGCACGCAGGATGAATCCCCGCTCAACAATATTTCCCTGCGAGTTTTTTGTTTGATTCGGAGTCTGGCTGTTTGTTTAATCCAGTGACTTTTCAATTCAGGTCCGTCTCGTTCTTTTGTCCATTTGTCGAGGCTCTCTGTCCTAATCACGGCCAGGTGGCGGAGTGGCAACGCATGCGAGACGAATACAGACACCGCAATGTTTCCTCGCAATGTCTCTGTTTGATTCGGGGTCTGGCCCTGTGGAATGGTGTGAGTCTTTTTCATTCGTAGGTGGGCTACCAAGTCGCAATTGCGAAAGCCTGTTTTCCTCCCGTTTGGCTGCGTTCGGAGCGCATCACAAAGTGACAGCTCACAGCGATTATAGCTCAGTGTCTTACTTATGTGTGAAGCTTTGGTCATCCTGACTGATGCTCGTGTGCAGTCATTCCTCACAATCACTCACAATCACCTGCCCCAACTGCCCTTCCAGCATGTCAGAGAACACCCCGACGACAAAGGATATGCCCCTGGGACACCCAAACCTCAGCAGAGACTTCAAAAAACTCGGCCTCGTGGAGGGACACTACCGTCTCCACAAGTGACACTGAGACAGTCCAAACAAGCTGGCACCCCAGCCACATCCAGACGCTCTCCAGCACCTTCTGTGATGTATTCAATGTTAACACTGCACATGTCTGCAGGGAAATGCCGGGTGGGGCCCACAGCCAAGATCCTGCCAGAAAGGCCAACTCCTCCGCCAGCAAAGGATCTGTGTCGTTCTGAGGGTGGACAGCCACATCTCACCCCACTCCCGATGCAAGACATGCCAAATATTTGGGAAAGGGAATGCGAGATCTATACCGTACTGGGCCCCAGTACGGTTAGCATTTTTGAAGCGTAATTTCACAGCTTGATGGTCTGTTCAACGGTTATGAGATATTTTCTCCCACGGTTCAAAGCAGTGGAAATCTCACTGATGGAACCTCCTGCAGCTGATTATAGTGACGAGGAGCCTGACTCCGGTGCTCAGGAGGGCTCTGGGGAGGATTATGAAGGTTAATACTCTGTTTTTGCGCTACATTTGTGTAGGGACCGGGCACAGTGATTTTCGGAATTGACCCTTAATATGACCCTTAATTTGAGTATGCGCACCCTTAATAAGCCTTAACAAGACTTAAGGCCTTAATTTTGGGGAGTACCCTTAATAAGACCCTTAACTACAACACTGTACTGGGGAGCAGCAGTGATTGGGGTGCCACACGAGATACAGGCGGCGTCAGCACTTAGGATGCTGGAGGCAAAGGGGGTGGACGGTCTAGAGTATCCGAGGCATGGGAGAGTCCGGTCGGACTCTGTGGCGGTGCAAGGCTGTGTTGCCAAGAGAGTCGGATGGAGTCAGACTGGACCCAACTCTCCACTATTGTCGTTATTGTCTTCGGAATTAGTCGCTTGTGTATTGTCATAGCACATATGGATCACTCTCTTGTTCTCCTCAACGCGATATAAGGTGAAGTTCTCGGTGAACCCTGTAGTCAATTATGGACTTTCAAAGTATCTGCGACGCTCTCAGGGAATACCCCGACGTTTCTGCTGCATTCTTGCACACAAATGTGGTCAAATACATCGAAATTATCGCCCTTCTCAAGCCAACACATGCATTGGCATTTTTCCAACCTTCTCACCAGACTTCTGTTCCGCCGCTGACACTTCCTGCCAATATTCACGAGTTCTTGAAGGACTGCTTCAATCTTCCGGATGAGACTAGTAAACTTGCTTGGGAAGCCTTCCGGGTACTAGCGTGGTCCTTCGAGCCCACTCCAGAGGATTGATCTGCTCATCGCATCAAACACGCTCGGCTTTTCTTGGAGCACGGAGTTCTGCGTGGGATAGGTCAGTCATAATGTTTACCTTCCAACTGATCTGTAACATTATCATAATTAGGTGTATATTCCCTCCTTCCACCTATGCGTGTCTGCCTAGATCCGGACTACGCCAGGCTGCTTCAATCCAATCCTACTGTTCTGAGAGATCGGGAGCTCGGGGAGCCCAAGAGTCATCCCATCACCGTCTTCAGCCTTGAGCTGTCCCTGGTCACTCGACATTGTGCTACTGCCGTAGTAAGTCTTCTGTGCGATCAATTTATCATTGAGCACAAACTTATCACCGGTAGACTGCCATACACGTTATTATCCCAACTATTATGTTCATGCCAACGCAACTGTGCGAATGTTCTACTTGCTGGACAAAGTCCCGCAATTTATTCACACATCGGAGCACTTCTACACCACGTCCGATCTCTGTGAGCTTTTTGCTAACATGGTGATGAATGCATGGTTCGTCTGTCTATATTCCCGAATGAGTAGCTGTCCTTGGCTACTGTCGCGGCGGCTTCAGCGGCTCGGAGGTGAAGATCACGCTGAATGATCTGTACTGCAGCATGTTCAACAGAGGTCTTTGTCAATAGAGAAGGGCCTTGGGATTGCCTAGAGGCGTGTAGGGGCTTACAGAGGGTGGTAGTGGAGCGTGAGCAGCGGGAGCAAGGTGGGAGATGACAGCAGCGGTGAGAGCGGTGTGGCGGGCCGGACAAAGTGGCATCAGTTTGTCCCTATTAGCTCGCCGGTCGGACTCGGCACAGTATTCTAAGCGAGCTGAGTCAAGTCGGACTCGACCTGCCTGACCCGACTCCCCCGTGGATCCGACGCTCTGGGATGGTCTGGGGTGCAGCTTTAGATGCATTGAGGAGTATGTTAAAAATCTTTCTTTTTTAATACACATTGTTTCCCGACTGGCCGTGACACCAAGTTTTGTTCTACCATTGCTGGGAAAACATGCTGGGCATTGACCCAGGTGTACTCCCAGCCTTGAATCCTGAGTGCTGGAATCCTGAGGATGTAGAGGCAAGAGAAAGGGAAGGAATAGGGTCATTCACAGTTGCCCTTTTTCCACCCTTTTTCACTCCTTTTTGCTCCCTCTTTCACTCCCTGTTTTGAATTTTCAATCGCACAAGGTTCATTTCAATTGGGTTACAAGTTGGTTACGATTCTGAGCCTAAGACATGTATGTTGTAGTCTGTAACCTTTTGCATGTACCCACAGCATGCAAACCATGGAATTTTGAGGAAAAGGGAACAAAAAGGGTGCAAAAAGGGCCGAAAAAAGGGAGTGCAGTCGGGGGGTTTCACAGTTGCCCTTTTTCTGGTCCTTTTTGCACTCACCCTTCTCTTGTATTTGGTCAATTTCATAGCTATAAAGTTCATTTCTTCCCTTTTTACACCACTGAATTAAAAAGGGGAAAAAAACCGGGTGAAAAGCGAAGGGAATGGGAAAAAGGGAGAAAAAAGGGAGCGGAAAAGGGGGGGAAAAGGGCAACTGTGAACGACCCTAATGTAGTCACCCCTATTTCCGGGCCCAAACAAAGATTTGACCGCAGAATAATCAGCTCTGAGGATCTCGAGAAAGTAAGAACATGGAGAGTTTTGGAATTATCATGCCTACAAAACTGTCTCTTACAATTTTTGCAACGGGAAAGTTGGTTCACGAGCATCGTTGAATCTTCTTTATAAATCCCGACAACTTCCGACTGTACTAAAACCGGGGATTATCTTCCAGCCGCTATTTATTGATCGAATGTCGGTCCCCAATAGCGACTGGTTCTAGCAGATTGTCGGAACCAACCTATCGACAGCCTACATACGGTGAGAAACTAGGCCCCGTGAAGCTCCTGCCAAGGGTTGTCCGCCCAAAACCCCCAATTTTGGCCTCAAAAATCCAATTTTTTGGCGATTTTGGGGCCTCAAATATCCAAAATTGGACAAGGGTGGTCCACAAATAACAGGACACGCGAGTTCCACTGCGGTTGGGCGCCGAAGTAACATTTGGAAGCTTAACTTTGCTGTGGTCAGTAAAATTGGCCATCTGGGCCTCAGACTTGGCCTCAAAGAAACCTCAAATATTTTGGACAAGGGAAATTTCAGCCTCGAATATCCTATTTTCCGGACAACCTTTGGCAGGAGCTTCACGGGGCCTGAGAAACTATGCACCACCCTTGAATTAACTATTACCTGGTTGGCTGAGATCCATGCTGCCTCGTCTATTGTCGAACATGAAATACAACGAAGTACCCAATGCATTGATAAATTTCTCAGTTACGGATTATATATGTACGCTAAAAGCCAGAAAGACGATGCTGGTAATACACGTGGAAAGGAAAGCGACAAACGATGAGTATGTTGAGGTTGTACAGTACATCAGAAGGATCGAAAAAGCCAGACGAAGAAAACACAACTACCACCCCGAATAATGGTAGGTCGAAGTGTCCCCCATACTATAATTTCGCACGAGCTTCTTCTTCGGCGCAACTGCGGGCACGGGTGGATCCAGCGGGGGCAGCGTCGTATCGCGCCGTTCCGCCCCAGGCGCCCGAGGTGTTACCCGCACGACACTCTTCTCCGGCTGCCGCCCACCTTGAGCAGTCGTCACATTAACAGTGCTCTTCGTCCGACGCGGCGGCGGTCCAGTCATATCGGTGCGGCTAAGCCTTCGCTGCCAAAGTAAGTTATGTCGCAGGCTCTCCGACATTTCGTTAAGCAGCATGTGCTGACGCGTCGTGCGCGGCGTCGACGGCAGCGCGGGCGCAGGGAGGTTGTAGGGGAATCCAACAGGCGCAGTCGGCATCGAGCGATCCGGCGGCGGTTGTGGAACATAGTCATCGTTCGCATTCAGTGCAGCAACCCACGGCGCATCGCCCGCCTCCTCGTACAGCCGACGGCGTTCCGCCTCGGTCGACTCCACTCCATTCATGCCTCCACTGCCGTTCTTGGCGCGCGACGAAAGCGAGGTCCTCTGCGCAAGAACCCGCAACTTCTCCTGGGCGACGCTCTTCGACACTTGCATGCCCTCATCGTGCGCACGCCCCTTCCCTTTCCCGCGCCCCTCCGCGTCCTCCTCGTCATCCTCCTCGTCGTCGTACTCCATCCCCGCCGGCGGGCCCTTGGGCCGATACCCACTCCGCCCCGACGCGCTCCCGTTCTGTGTCGTCGTGCTCCCGCCAGTGGCCGGGGGAGCGACGAGGTCTGGCCCGTCACCCAAACCCGACACCACGGGCCCCGCGACGCTGCTCTTCCCCACCGAACCACTCATTCCCGTGCCAAAATGCGGCGTCGACATCGCGCGCGGCATATTCGGTCGACGAGGTGGTGGCCCAGCCTGGGATTGTTGTTGAGGCTGCGCAGGCGATTTCTGTTGCGGCGGTGCAGGCGGC